GGATTTCACGATGTTGGCCAGGCACCCTGTCTCTACTAAAAATACAAAAATTAGCTGGGTGTGGTGGTACGTGCCTATAATCCCAGCTACTTGGGAGGCTGAGGCATGAGAATCACTTGAACCCAGGAGGCGGAGGTTGCAGTGAGCTGAGACTGCAGAGCAAAACTCCGTCTAAAAAAAAAAAAGAAAAAAAAAAAGAGGGGGTGGGGGGCGGGGAAAGAGAGAGCGAGAGAGCGAGCGCTGTATATGGAGGGACAACCCTAAATCTGCTGATCAAGGAGGGCTGCTGAGACTTGAATAAGGACAGGAAGGGAATGATGTTAAATTGTGAACAATGTTCCAGGCTGCAAAAATAGCAGGTACAAAGGCCCTGAGGCTGGAACTTGCTTCGTGTGAGGAAGTGCATGGGAGGAGGTGAGGGCAGGAGGGGATATGGCAGATAGCGCAAGTTTTTATGGACGGTGGGTGGATTTGGGCTTTTCCTCTAAAGGAGGTGGGAGCCAAGGAAGATTCAGGGCAGAGGAGGGAGGGAGGGATGTGAACTGACTCGGATGTTCACAGGCGCCCTCTGGCTGCTGTTGGGGAGACTAGACCTGGGGTTGAGGATGGAAATGCAGAGAGCAGGGAGGCAGCTGCTGTCATCCAGATGGTGTCTTGAGCTGGGAATTCAGGGAGGGTCTCCGGGCAGCGGGGAGTAGCGGGGACGTGGAGGAATTCAGGATCTAAACAGAAGAGCAGACAGGTCTGGCTGATGGATTAGATCTGCTTAGACGGGTTGGATCTGCTGGGGTTTTGTCTGAGGATGTGGAAGTTGGGGTTTCCAATATCCAACAGATGAGACCCATCTCACCTCCTTGCACCCTGCTCCCTTTGCTTTTTTTTTTTTTTTTTTTTTTGAGACAGTTTTGCTCTTGTTGCCCAGGCTGGAGTGCAGTGGTGCTATCTCCGCACACTGCAACCTCCACCTCCCAGGTTCAAGTGATTCTCCTGCCTCAGCCTCCCAAGTAGCTGAGATTACAGGCCTGTATCCCCACACCCGGCTAATTTTGTATTTTCAGTAGAGACGGGGTTTCACTGTGTTGGTCATGCTGGTCTCGAGTTCCTGACCTCAGGTGATCCATCCGCCTTGGCCTCCCAAACTGCTGGGATTACAGACGTGAGCCACAGCACTCGGCCTTCCCACAGCACTTGGCCTTCCTTTGCTTTTGCTTTAACCTCTCCCAGGTTGCTTTAGTACATCAGGCAGGGTCCAGTCTCAGAGCTGTTGTGCTTAGACCTCCTCCTCCACCAGGCTTTCCCTTTAGGCAACCCCTCCTCTCATGCTGCCCCTGCACAGACCTCCATGTTCTTTACCTAGTTTGCTGTTGTTACTGTTTTGTTTTAAGAGACAGAGTTTGCTCTGTTGTCCCCAGGCTGGAGTGCAATGCTACGATCATAGCTCACTGCAGCTTCAAACTCCTGGCCTCAATTGATCCTCCCTCCTCTGCCTCCCAAGGAGCTGGGATTACAGGTGTGAGCC